AGGAAACCGTAACCATCTATTGATCAACGAGCTAGTCAACTAGAGGCTCACTAGGGACATGTTATGGTCTATGTATTCACACATATATTACGATTTCCGGATAACACAATTATAGCATGAACAATAGACAATTATCATGAACAAGGAAATATAATAATAACCATTTTATTATTGCCTCTAGGGCATATTTCCAACAACATGTTGGCTCTCTGGCTCTCCCCTCTCTACCGGCAGGCGGCAACTCCAGTCCTCCTGGTGAGGCCGTTGATCCCCTCTGCTTGGGCGGTGAGACCCTCTGCTTTGGTATCATATGCTTGTAGTTAGAGTTTGAGCTGATGTGTTATTAGGCAGTGTTTTGCGTGGCAATGATGGGGCCGTGAAGAAATAAGTCTCCCCTTGGGCGGTAATGTAGGGTTTATCGATGTCGTGGTGGAGTTTGTGAAGATCGCTTTGTAGACTCACATATATCCATTCGACGTGCCACATAAACAAGGGCTCCCATATTCGTGCCGATCATCTTTGTAGACTCACAAGTGTATGGGCAATGATGCATGCCGGGATTATGCATGGTTTACCTCTCAAGGACGATTTTTTTGGCACCCCTAAATGCAGGCATAATGTGTGCGCTCTTAATAATAAGGGCTGCATTTTGATGTGTGAGAATAATGGCCATCTTACTTAATTCACTTCACATGATGCACCATTAGCAATTCTATGTCACTGCTTTTTTTCATAGCATTATTTTCCAGAAATTACTAGTGCATTTAAACAATATTCTCAAAAAAACAATTATCATTTTGTAGCAACTTATAATTTCAACTCGTAGCAACTTAGAACATCATCCTAAGGGAAATACCCTTTGGTTCCTGGGTGTATATACACTTTACATGTGAATTTTTTTTATTAAAAAGTTAAAAAAGATTTGATTTTTTCAGAACAAACTTGACTTTCTTTTGCACTAGTATTTTTTTCACGAATAAAAAACCTACGTTGACTTCGGGGGGAAAACAAAAAATTAGTGCTTTTATAGGTCACTATGCACACTATTTCAGCCAAAAAATTTAAATGAAGTCAACGTGGTTTTTCCTTTTTTGTGGAATTTTTTACTAGTACAATAGAAGGTCAAATTTATTTCAAAAATATTTTCAGTATTTTTTATTTTTATGTAATTACTATTTTTTTCCCATATAGGGTGTATACACACACAGAGACGAAAAGTTCCTGTCCATCATCCTAACTAGTACTACTAACGGTTTGCTTGCGTCTCTCAGTGATTTTCCATTACACATCCATTTCCTTATAGCATTGTACCAGCCCATTCATACTGAACATGACGAGAGACCTTGCAACCACTCATACTGAGTCACTTAGCATCCCGCAAAAAAAAAGTCAATCGGCGAGTGAGACTGGCTCGTGGGACCCAATTTGGGCACGAGCAGAAGATAACCCTAGCAGCAGCAGCGACAGGCGAAGAAGAGTGACTAGACAACAGCATTCACAGGCCGAAGAAGTTTGCTGACGTGATGGCACACACAGCAGATTAACACAAGAACTATCGTGAGGAGGTGGCAATGTTCTATTCCAGATTCAGGTTCAGAGCATGACGGCTCAGGATCTACCTACATCAGCTGATTCCCCACGGGACGGGGTCGACGGCGAAATGCAGCTCCAGGCATCTCTCGGCGACCAGATGAAAATTGGATGCCAGCATCTGCATCTCACAGGGAAAACACAAAGAAATTAAATCAAGCCACGACACAACCAAGCATAGCACTTAATGTACATTTTTCTTGCTTCTGCAAGGAGTTTCAGTTTCAGAGTATTTTTTAGCTCGGTATCTTGTGATCTTAGGTCACTAATCGTCATCATTGTGCATGCCTAGCTTGAGCGTGTTTCCAATGCTGTAGGTAAGAGTAACTAAGATATCCCAATTTTTTCTCTATCAGAAAAAAAAAAGATATCCCAGTTTTCGGAGCAATTATTTACTGGACTGAAGATGGAACGGTCTATTTTCAGAGCTCCAGGAAAGAAAGTACCACGACAGGTTCCGAGCTGAAGGTATAAATAATCCGATTCCATTGGGTGTGGATGACCCAACTTACTGAACTCGAACTGAACTTGCCGAAAAGTAACGAAAGTTTTCCGAGCACTTTTACTTTTGTTACTATACCTTATTATTGTCTTGTCCTTGATGAAAATCAAGGTTCCCCTTTCATTCAAAAAAGAATTTACCAAGTCCCAGATTTCTATGGATGCAAGTGCAGAAACATTACATCCTTGTAAGCCGTGCTCCCCTTGAATAATTTGAAGCCGTCAGCTGTTAAAAACAAGAGAAAGGTCGTAGTAATCAGCCCTGGTGATTAGTGAAGATTTCCCTCATTTATCTTTGCTCTACAATCTAAATGCTTTAGGATTCTCAAATGGAACAGAAACAAAATGTAGTGAAAACTAAAATAGCGACAGCGTGACTGTACATACTGTCCACACGATCCTGGCAAAAAATATCATCAGGAATTGTTCTCTCAGACCAACATGGACAAACTATGCAGAGGAATGCTTGTGCAAGTTATAAGTTGTCAAGCAAATCAAGATAGAAGGTGTGGTCGATCAAGTGCGGTGGAGATTCAGAGTCGTATCAGCAATATGACGGCAGAAGCACAAGAAACCCGTTTTGCCGTACCTGAGGTTGCGTGCACTGTATCCTCCACTGCCTTGTGGGACCTTGCACCACCCACTCATCAATTAGTCAGTGAGTGAGACTGCCCCGTGGGTCCCAATTTGGACACGAGCAGAAGCCAACCCCAGCAGTGTCAGGGGAAGAACACATGCTACTACAAGCAGCTGCATTCAGAGGCCGAAGATGTATACTGAGGTGGCGCACACAGCACATTAACACAAGAACTCAACATCAGCTACGGCTCAGGATCTATCTTTCAGAAAGTTCAGTAAAACAAAGAGTTTGTGACGAGAGCTGTATCGACGAACATGGTTGGGCACTCGCGAGTCGCGGCACAGTCATGTTTCAGAGTTTCAGTTAGAGCATCTCTTGCTGTCCGCTAGAGCAGTGTGTAGAGTTCCAGTTTCAGAGTTGGACTTGGTGCCTCCTCATTTTAGGTACTATTCATCTAAGCAGTATGTAAAAGTAACTAATAGATACCAGGTTTCAGAGCAACTATTTACTGAGCTGAAGGTATGGATGGTCTAATTTCAGAGCAACAGATTGTAGGGTATGAATGATCCAGTAATTTACTCAACTGAAGTCACACAGAAGCGAAGCCGTTTTAGTGAAGATGTCCATCATCTATCTTTGCTCTACAATCTAAATGCTCTAGGGATTCTGAACTGGAACAGAAACAAAACGTAGTGAAAACTTACGCGATGGAAAACAGGCAACGACAGCGTGACTGTACATATTGTCCCTACGATCCAGACAACAACCTGATTTGAAATACAGAATTAGGATTGGTTCTTTCAGACCAAGGAAAAATTATACAGGGGCATTTCTGTCCAGATTATAAGTTGTCAAGCAGATCAAGATAGAGGGTGCAGTCAAGTGCAGTGGAGATTCAGAGTCATATCAGCAATATGATGGCAGAAGCAAAAGAAACCCGTTTTCGTCATACCTGAGATTGCCTGCACTGTAATGGCTCCAGGCATCTCTCCGCGGCCAGACCTTCGATGCCCACATCTGCATCAACTTCACAAGTCAAACACAATGAAATTATATTCAGATAGAACTTGATTAGGCATCCGCGACACAATCAGGCATAGTGCTTGCTGTTCAGTATTCTTGCTGTCAGCTAGAGCAAATGGGCAGAGTGTTTCAGATTTTAGCTAACTAGCCTTGGCGCAGTGGTAAAGCTGCTGCCTTGTGACCATGAGGTCACGGGTTCAAGTCCTGGAAACAGCCTCTTACAGAAATGTAGGGAAAGGCTGCGTACAATAGACCCAAAGTGGTCGGACCCTTCCCCAGACCCTGCGCAAGCGCCCCAGACCCTGCGCAAGCGGGAGCTACATGCACTGGGGCTGCCCTTTTAATCATCATCATTATTCTGTGAGCCTAGCCTAGCTTGAGCTTGAGCTTCAGGTTTTGCAATGCAGTAGGTAAAGGTAACCAAGATGAGAGAGATCCCAGTTTCCAGAGCAATTATTTACTAAACTGACGGTATGACTGAATGATTCAGTTTTAGAGGAACTATTTTCAGAGCCCCAAGAAAGTAACCACAGCAAGTTCTAGTGTATCGAACTAAGGATGATCTAGTAATTTACTGCACTCTTGTTAGTCTCTTAGTATTATCTGATCCTTGATAAAAACAAAAATTCCCCATCAAAATCCATCCAAAACAGAATTTACCAACACCGAAATTTCTATGGATACAAGTGCAGAAACCTTACATCCTTGTACGCCGCACACTCCTTGAATAATTTGAAGTCGTCAACTGTAGAAAACAAGAAGAGGTAGTAATCAGCCTTGGTGATTGCTGAAGATCTTTCTCCATACTTCTAGCTTTGCTCTACATCTGGATGGTTTAGGGATTCTGAAAAGCAACAGAAACAAAATGTAGTGAAAACTTACTTGATGGAAAACGGATAACAGCATCGTGACTGTGCATATTGTCCATATGATCCAGACAACAACCTGATTTGAAATATAACATAGGATTTGCTTTTTCAGACCAAGGACAAACTATGCAGGGGAATGTTTGTGCAAATTACAAGTTGTCAAGAAGATCAAGGTAGAAAGTGCAGTCATGTGCAATTACTCCCTGCCTGTACAAAAGTAGGCTCTGGAAGATTTGAAGGGGGCTGCAATAGTGCTTTTCCAAATAAAGATGAACAGGCCATAAATTAGTTAGCAACAATAGATCATACAGCTAAATGTTAATGTGATCTTTCTCCCCAATAAACATCCTCCACATCAACTCAATGTTTAAACACAGATCGGTTACAGTTCCTAGATATAAGCATTAAACGATAGCATAGGTACTACAGCGATTAGGCTACATGTTCGCCATAGCCGACTTGACGGAATTCAAGGTCCTAAAGTAGTCATAGAACAAAGATGAGTGCTCACCCTCCAAGCCATCACGATGGTGCCGGTTGCTTCCGGCAAGATTGTTACGTGGGCTGCCCCCAATCACCAAGTCGAAGCCGCCAAATCTACTAACATATGATGCAATTTCATCATCCTTGAGGGATTTCACATCAGCTATCTCAATCAACGTGCCTGTCTGGGTTTGATCCCACCAACTCCTCAAAAGCTTCCTATTAGCTTTGCATATCTCAACAGAAACTACTGCCCTGTGGATCCCAAGCTTGTGCAAGGCGACCTCTCCTCCTCCGATGCCAGTGAACAAGGATAGCACAGTAATACCATTGGGAAACATGTCCCTCAGCACTGACAAGTGGTAAGCGACCGTGTCGACTTGGAATGAGTTGCTGAGAGACTTGTATCTCTGTGTCTTGCCGAAGCCTCTTGTGTGGTCCTTTGGGAAACCAAGAAGATACTCCATCTCATGAGGTTCCAATGGAGCAGCTTTGTCTTTGCCAACCCAAACAAGGTTCCATTTTGAGCACTGATGCCTGACATATTTCTGTACACTTTGAGGTGGTGGATTGCCTGAGCTTGAAAGTTTCTGCTGGATCCGTTCTGTCACCGGTGCACTTGCCGTACATGTTTGCAAGCAATTGAAGTGCGTTCTCTGGTCCCAGGATGGCCACCACTTCTTGTAATGAGGGAATGCCTCAAAAATTGTCTTTGGAGGCAGAGGGAGAAGCGGTGATCTTTTCTCGGTTGGCAAATTGTGGATATATCCCCTTTTCCTGGCAGCTGCACACAGATGAAGAGAATCCACAAACTCAGGCTGGATGTCAATTGTCAAACAGAAATCTTGTAATTTTTGCCCATACACCTTTTGGAGCTCTGGCCACATTTCATAGTAGAAATAAGGTGGTCCGGTAGCCAGTTCAGGAAGCACTCGGGTCATTGATGGTCCCCTATAACCAGGAAGGTTAAACCCAACCATTGGGTTTGGGAGAGGCATTGATTCCTCATCGCTGCCATCCGAGGAAGGTCGTTTGCCTTGTGCTCCACCTCCATATCGCTTCCTCTTTTTCTTGCTCTCTTCAATCAATCTTGCCCTCTTTCTCCCTCCAAAGGAATCGAAGCATCTAGCTGTAACCTGCCAATGTACACAGATTCCAGTGTCCTTCATCAAATTAAAAGAGCGAAACCACTTTCCTGTTCGAATGTGCATCAAACCACAAGATACCTGATGGTCAGATAAGTTTCTAGAGTGACAAACTTCTGTAACCTGTGATGCACTAATCGAGTCGACCAATACAGAGAGATCAGCATCCACACCTAGGAAAAATTTCAAACAGAAGTATATAGCATAAGGTGGTGCCTTTTCCATGAAGAAAGAATGATGGTCAAACAGAGGCATACCACATATCGTAATGGCCATGTTTGCTTCATCTTCAGAAAAGCCCATGTCTCGCAATGAGTTGATCTTCTCGTCCTTGTCTGACATCTCTCATAGAAACTCCTGCACAAAGGTACGACAAAAGCCGAGATTAGATGTCAGCTCTAACAGGTAGATGTTGCTTTCCTGAGGTTGGTCTTGGAGGGCAGTTTGATGCAACTAATTAATGTGGTAAGTGATGTTCTTTTCCAGCATTATGATCATTTTCAAATAATTTGCTTGTGGCAAAATAAATCCACAAATTGTAAGACTTGTTACTGATTTTCAAATGCATACGAACTGAAGAGAAAACAAGTGGTGTCTAACAGAAATTAATTTTCTGATTCATGAAATTCACAAAGAAGCAGGATAATAATACACTCAGTTTCTACTGTTTTCCAGTTTGTTTGATTACTCTGCGGGAGGTATTGTCTAACGTTATTAAACTCACTTCTTATATTACTCTCTTAAAGGAAAAAAAACTTTAACATGGTGAAAATTCTATGTAGAAAAATCAAGTGCTCAAACTTCACAATACAATACTACACTGATGAAAGCTCAAAACAGTAAGAATTCTTTGCTGCTGAACTGGAGATAAGAAATCATTTACCTCATAACCAGAATCATCAGAGCTTGACTCTCTACCACCAGTATCATCATCACCATCCCACTTCTCAAAATCAAGATCATCATCATCTTCAACAATAGTGGGGTTGCAGCCAGAAGTAGAGTGATTGCCCACTGCATCATCATCATCACCTAGTGCCTGCATTTCACATCTCAATTGGAATAAACGATCCTTGCCATGAATCAAGAGCAGTACAGAATAAATTCAGTAATAAAGCAAATGGATAAATAGTCAAATACCTTGTACGTGAGGAGTAGCTCGAGCAGCGCATCTGCATCACTATGTCCTGAAATCAGAAGGCGTTAAAAAAAGGTACAAACACAAACAGGATAAATAAAATGGAACTGATTACTTCTATATTACCAATCTCCTTGATACTCCTCACGACCATCTCTTTTGGGAAGCCCATTGCCACATATCCCTCAATCAAAGAAGTAGGCGGCGCTTCCCCGTTGATCCACCCATTGGAACTCTTTAGGCAGTTACACGAACAAATATCACACCATGACCATAATTATAACAAATCATGGATAGCTCTTGTGCTGAAATACAAAATTTATATCTGACTTACGAGTGTGGATGGGCCAGGAGCATCGAAGTTCCTCATCGCCGGAGCCAATGAGGGCTCAGCCTCACCATCACTGTCCCAGTCAAACTTATCACTATCATCACTATTACTGGTCCAGTCCTGTGACATGAGTTAAGCACAACTCGATTAATATTGAAAGCAAACCACCAGAAAAGCAATTATAGAGAATAAATTGATGCGAGAGAATAATAATTTTATTATGCCACAAGTCCACAACAGCCACAAGATATCACAACTGAAATCTCCGCCATGAAATCAGTACAACTACATTTGACTCTAGAGTTTAGAATGCATCGAAAGGGAAGAAGAAAAAACCATTTTTTTTTATTGAACAAAGTCCCCTCAACCACAGTCACAAGAAGAAATTAAGCTAATGCCCAGAAAATATACATCAGTGCAACTAGAAACAGTCTGATTTGTAGTTTTGGGGATGCCTAACTAACCGAAGTATGCTATGTTTCAGATAGTGGGAAGGATAGTTCGCTGGGCAGTATGACATGACATGCATGGTATTTAAAAATCATGATGGTGTAAACTAAAGTGATCAAGTAGGTAAATGTAAAAAGGTGAGCAGATTGACCAGGATTGCCCATTATCATACCTAGAGTAAGATTAACTAAACAAGCACTACTGCAGTACCATTTGATGATGCTTTTACGAAGTGGATAAACAACGGTGTTTGCAGTTCAAATGAACCATGCAGATGCACGAGCTGAAGCGCCGGACAAGTAAGAGTTTTCTTCATTTCACCATACAGGTGGATCACGGTAACATTAAAGAATGTCAACCTGGTAATGCTATGGTTGACTACAAAGAGTGTCCATGCGTCGACATGAACATCATATGAAACAAGAGATCATGCATGCGACAGTCGTAATTCGGAACACGAAATCAGCAGTCTCAATCAACTCTAGGGTCCAGAATGCATCAGATAAATCAAAAGAACATATATTAGAGCAAATGGACTGTAAAAAAGATTCAGATGAGAGTTCCCAACAAAGAAGGTGTTTAGCTTGTGGTGCCATGTCTGCTATAAAGACGTGTATTTTGGATAAACTACTAGAAGCAATGGCGGATCAGATACAGAAACAATGTAAGAAAATGAAGACAAATACTAACAGATGGAGGTGTTCAGCTTGTGGTGCTCTATCTGCTATAGGGACCTGTATTCTTGACAAACTAGTACAAGCAACGGTGGATCGGATACATGAACAATGTGGGAAAATGCAGATAAGACTAGCAACAGATGGAGGAGTTCACCCACCAACCGATGCAAGATGGAGTCTGGTCTCCTATATGGTGGATCCTATTCTAGTGTCTGGAACGCATCAAGGAACTTGTTTTCTTCCGATCGGACAAACAACAGAAAAGCCCATATGCAAAACAGAGTCGCGGACAGAGATACAAGTCATCAAGAATACCAAACGCAAGGGGTCTCATAAACTAAAACAGCAGGACCCCGGCCGGTATTAGACAGTATCCACCTGTTGATGCTGCTGCCTGATCAAAAAGAGACCATGTGGCAGTCATCCGCGAAATCAGCAGAGCCTCGTTCAACTCTTATATAGGGACCAGAATGCATCCAGTAAAATCAATAGAACATCGGGTGCATATTAGATAGAAAGGACCCTAGGAATTAAAAAAAAAGAAAAGAAGATGATAGCTCTCTGCAAATAAGGTGTTTATCCTGTGTGCTACAATTGTCTGTATCTTGACAGACAAGTGCAGCAGCATCTCATCCTGATGCATAGCAACATAGCAAGTCTAGTGTGTGAGACAAAATGCAGGCAAGTTGAGGTAAACCGCTGACCCCACGCTGTGAGGAACAGATCGAGGAGCTAATAACCTAACCGGCCAGGCCAATGCAGCATTATTTCCTCGATGCCTGTGACAGTGTGACGCATCGAGGAAGGGGGAAAGAAAAACCCCCCAAACCCCATCCATATGCAGAACCAAATCGCGCACGCACGGACAGAGCCAGCTACGTCGACAAGAGCAACAAAAACGAGAGATTTCCCCTCTGCATCGGAACGGAGGGTCTCTACTGTCGAGCGGCAGCAAAAAAGGGGAACCTTTCACGAATTTTCCTACGGACGCCGCGCGGAGGAATCGCTCGCTCAAGATTCTGCGGCATACAATCCCCGCTCCGCTCAGGAGGCACTACTAGCAACGCTTTATCCGTCCATGATTTCACCCAACAAGTTGAAATCGAAAAGACTGTTGTTGGTGCCGGAAGCAGAGGCGCCCCCTCTGTCCCTCTCCGTGCCGCGAGAAAGAGGAGGAGGGGGGACAGCTCGAGGAGTAGCGGGGGCAGGGGCGGCCGAGGAGGAGCGGGAGCAGATCGCGACGGCGGCGGCGGGCTGGTCCGGACGAGGAGGAGGGGGAAGAGGGAGACGCGGCTGCGGCGAGTGTGCTGCCGCGGCGTGTATGCCGGCGCGTGGTGTGTAGCTGAAAGAAAGAAACAAGGAACGGGCACACGCTGGCGGGAATGTGCCTCCGACATGTGGGCCGTGGTGGGGCGCGCTTCCTCCGTTTTCATGGGATGTGCGGCCGCACACAAAACTGGCCGCACAGTTTTGTGCGCAGCGCACATCCCAATAATGAAAGAGGAGAGAAAGAGAGGTGTGAATCAAAGACGTGTGTGAATATATTGATGATGATAATAACGCCCCTAGCTTAGGGTTGGTGCAAAAGTTGGGCATAATTGTCAAACACCGAGCTTAACGAAAGAACTGAAATGGTGGATTATTGAAAAAAGATCTTCGAAATCAATTTTATGTGAATTTCTTCTTATTCCTGTTGAACATCTTTTGATCGATCTTGGTACGCTAATTAAGATCCTAGTTAACGTACTGTTTTATTGTGTTGGTTTTTGACACTTTCTTCATTTATAAATAATACTACCTCCTTTTGGAAATAATTGTCTGCGCTGTGACTTTTTGACCCATATTAATGTGATTGGGTAAAAAAATATTTTTTATTTCATAAGCATTTATTGGCTTACCAAAGAAAATATAATTTTGTTGTATGGTAAGTTAAGAAGAAATGGGGCAGCAGAGCCGGTTTTTGAAGGAAAAAAATTATTGTATGTGCCCACGGTTGGACAACTGACTCTTAATGTAGGATGTGTTCCAGTCAAGGCATAATCTGGATACGTACTCCATTTAAAGTCGTTACAAACACATCTTAACGGATGTCTTCCAAAGCACAAATTAAGATCGCAATGATCATGATCACAAACATATGGTTGTAAGAATCAAGTACTTGTGCACATGTGTGTGTTTTATTATAAGTGTTTGCAGTAGCAACTTTGATTACGATCCGGTCAGAAAAAATGAAATTAAACTCTCCTGCAAAAGTTTGGTATAAACCCTTCTTGGCACAAGTGCACGTCCTCTCTTTGTTTGATAACTCGGGGTCACACCTTGGTGGAAGAGGATGGGAACCTTTGTGGTATCCGTTATCGGATCACCAAAGGGACTCATCAGGAGAACGATGACCCCAGAGAGCGGCGGCGGCAGCATCATGATCCAGATCCGGAGCCACTCGTCGGCGCGGAGAACCAAGACTTGGGCATCGTCGACGGTGAGGAGCGGATTGGCAATGAATGGAGAGAGGCTATGCGAGATGTGGTGTGGATGGCGCCAGAGTGGTGCTTCAAGCGGCCAGGCGAACGCACGGGCAGACGGCTTCAATGCGGCGCACCGCCCGGAGTAGGGTTCTCGGTCGTCGTGTCAGCATTGAAGTGTTTGATCTGCTCTAGCTGGCATCAATGCCATTGAGGCACTTCCATTGTGGAGCAGTTTGACCGATATGAATGTATGCTAACCATTTCGTGTAGAAAGGGTTTTG